AAAAAAAAAAAAAAGAGTACTTTGGTTCCTAGGGCCCACATTATGGCTCACAACCACATCTAATTCTAGGTCCAGGGGATCAGGTGTCCTCTCTTGGCCTTTGTGAGCACCAGGACCGCATGTGGCGCATAGACATACATCTGTGCAAAGCATTCAAGCCAAACAAATAAATGTAAACAAAGCGTCAAACCACAACAGACAAACAAAACCAGGGCTGGGGTTGATCTAGAGCTGCTCCCTCAAGAGAAAAGCCTGTGCTCTGGAGGGAGGCCCTAGTGTCTGCTTCCCAGAAGCCTCTGATTCCATCTCTTTACCAAGTCTTTCTCATCAACAAGACACATCCTCTGTGAGCCTCGCTGACCCACAGCTGCCCGGATCCACCCTTCCATCCTCACCTCCGAGAGAGGCAGCTAACACGTGACCATGCATGAGCCTTTGCTTTGGGGTGAGGTCAGAGGTCATATTTTCACATGCCTCAGTAGTCTGCAGTGTGTAAGGCTCGCTCACACGGCTTTGCTTCTTACAACCAATGTCAAGGGGCAGGAGTCCGAGCTGGAGGCTTTGGTCCAGGAGGAAGATCTTACCGTTCTAGCATCACAGCAGCTCTCGGTTGCCATGCGACCCCAGAACTTTTACCCCACTCGCATCCTGCATCCCCCGTACCTGCTTGCTAACGGCCTCAGGTACCATGTCCGGCACGAACCCACAACTTTTACCCACTGGCGTCCTGCATCCCCCCCATACCTGCTCGCTGACGGCTTCAGGCACCATGTCCGGCACGAGCCTGATGGAGAACTTGCCGACCACCTTTCTGGGTATCACAGTCTTGGCCCCTGAACCAGAGAAGGCTCCTTCGATTCCATGGAGGGACAGGGATGGGTACCGCCATCTGTGCATCAGGATGTCTTTCTGCAGAAGCACAAGAGGGCACAGCTGCTCACCAAGGAGATGGGATGTCTACAATGGAGGTGTGGATGAAGACACGGGGGCCCCCACCCTGGAGGGCTGGTCAGAGTCCACCTAGTGTACTGGAATGACCACCTCAGACTTCAGAGGAGGGCCGTGCAGCCGTAATGGCCTCAAGAGGTGATGGCGAATGACGCTGGCATGACATGCTGTGCGCCTCAGTCCCCAACAGGCTAAGATGTCTCTGGTCCTCCCTCTGCTCTTGTCAAACTGAGGAGCAACTCCCTAGGACTCTAGCCAGGCCTGCCACCTCTTTTTTAGCCATGCCCTCCAGCCTTGTGCCCAGCCTGACTGATGGCACAGCCATTTTCATTCCTTTGACTCTGAGGAAGGTGAAACTCAGGAGCCAGCCTGGCCTGTTCCTCTCCTTCCCCTAGAAAAGGCTTGTGCAGGATTTTGGTCATCTTGGCTACACCGAGGTGATGAACTGATATCCACACCCCTAAGACAATAACTATATTAAGATAACAATTTTCCTCCTACCAATGAAGTAATGGCAGACAGTTTCTGCCTCCATGCTTGGCTTAATCTCTGGGCCTTGTGGGAACAAGGTGCCCACAAAACCATACAAAGCAAACAGATTTGTGGCAGGAAAGGGCGCATGTCCCCCATGGACAGGGGTTATGATCGATCACCTAGAGATTAACCTGGTCAAAGGCTGATCCTGACATCTGAAAATCCTAACAGCTCTCAGCTTGACCACACCCTGCTTTTGACGACTTGTTCGCTCCGAGGAAGAACCTCTGACACTGGATGTCCTTGAGGCGAGGTGGACGAGCCTGTCAGCATGGTGGCCTGTGTGTGTGTGTGGGGGGGGGGAAGCAGTGCCTTGCAGCTGTGAAGATGGGTCCTCAGGATGGCATGAGGGAGTGGTACCTTGCAGCTGTGCAGAAGGGTCACAGCCCCAACGTCCTTGGCAAACTCTTCCATGTCAAAGTCAATGTGGTCATAGAGCTCACACTCCTCATCCGTCACAGGAGCCACGGCTTCGTTGATGCCGGGGATGAGGATTTTCCCCTTCTTGTCTACCAGGCAGCCTGGGGGAAGTGGCAGAAAGTGGGATGCTTAGCCGGGGCAGCGCATAAGTGTTCTGGGTGGTCCTGATTCCAAAAGCTCAGGCACCAGAGCAAATGACCAGGTGGCGGCAGGGGCCAGGAGCACCAAGTGCATCATGCTGGTGAGTCAGGTAGCCCCACGGAAGTGAGCAGGACCACTACTCACCCCTGTTTTCCAGAGAGAGAGACTGAGGAGCAGGTGGAGGGTACATGAGCCCCCCACTGCATACCAGGACACAAACCTAAAAACCCACACCAGCCAGCATTTCTGGTCCTCTACAGCTGGCGA